CAAAAATGCCAAGCTAAGCAGGAGACATTAGGGACGAAAACTTAGAAAAAATGGTAAAATCACAATGAATGACACACAGTCAACTAGCTAACAAAAATTGTTAGACCCTTTGAAAATTTAATCTCAGTTAAGCAAGAGAAATAATAATAATAATAGGACTTGTCATTTTTCAAAGGGATACATTCTCTATTATATTTTGGATTCTGAAGACTTAAAAGTTCATATTTTTTGAATTTTCCGGCATAATTCTGAATCCTTCTAGCATGTAGACTCAACCTCTTTCACACAGGATGTTGATGACAACCGGATAAACTGAATGTTAAATTCTGTGATTGTAACACAGGTAGCCGCGTACTCTCAAGGGGCTTAGTTAACATCATTTCTATTGAGGTTTCATGTACGATTTCCCGACTAGTATCAGAAAGTGTGATATCCAAAATCGTGAACCTTCCCGACGGTCGCTGCTGACATTTTTCTCTAGGAGGAGAATACACTAAATTGTGTAGGTTGTCTTAATGTTATTTCGTAAATTATAAAACATGAAGCGACGTTTTCAAAGGTTTTTTCATATATTACGATGCCTGATTTTTGTAAAAAAGAGGGGAGATATCCTTGCCAACCAACTAACACAATAGTAGAAGAAGTAGCGAAGACAGGAATTCAAGTGAACATAGAGCAGATTAGATGAGATAAGGATTCCTAACCAGTGGCAACAACGAGTACCAGTCACACCGTTAACAGAAAACTTTCGTAGGAGGTCACTACTGTCACTTATTTAGGAGACAACCTTTCAACTACAAGTGGTATGGATGAAAAAATATCAAAGTCAGTATCAGAAAGGTGTAAAATCCACTTCACTAAGCATGCAGAACAAGATTCAGATGTTCAGACAGTCAACACTTTACAGAAGTTAGAATTAATGGTCTATTGAATCAGGTCCCAGTGGCTTGATGGTATACGAGCTCGCCTTGTAACCAGAAGGTCCTGGGTTCGAATCCGGTGGGTGCGTACACCTGAAGAGTCCCAAAGTAGGATGTAAGAAACAGCTGTCCAGGTTTTCCAATGGTTATGCAACTAATTTCAGCTCATGATGAAATCCTGTAACCAATGAACCAAATCCCTACAAACCAATCCTTGAATACTTCACCAATAGTTCAATGTCACCAAAAGCATTTCCAACAGGCTTCAAACTTATGTTAACAGCTACCTTTTCTCTATGCTAACGATCAGATGGACAGGTAGATCAGATTAGCAATGAAGAACTCTGGAAAGAAACAAACCAACAGCCTTTCACCTAACAAATGTGTTGAAGAAAAAGGCTGTGGATGGGATATGCCCTATTTAACACTGTTGAGTGATATCACGCACCAGATCAGAACTCAACAGGGAAACTGAATATAAAATGGAGAATTGAGTGTCGGTCCGAAGGTGACATAGAGGAGACCGATTGCGTAAGAGATGTGAACTTATGGTTATTCATGGCGTCATCCTAAGAGAACTGAAAAGAACAGGATAAGGGTATACCTCCAATTTTCTGGACGTACACCGAAAGGCCAAAGCCTTAAAGAACATACGCTTACAATAGTGTCATTACTATACATCTCTTTGACTGATACGGGTCGCAAATTGCTTTAAAATTTTCAAAAGTATGGATACTGAACAATGAGTACTCTTTTCGATAACTTCCTCATCATCAGGCTGTACAGTTATATATACATTATAGTGAATGAATGAATTAGTGCTATGAACAGTATTAATGTTGCTGTTTGAATATCATCGAATCAATAATATCGACAGATTACAGCTTAATAGCATCGACATAAAATAAGCGAGCTGTCAGAAAAATCAGGAAAGATAATATTACAAACTCATGAATTTATAGTCTCTACTAAAGGCCGGGGCAGTAATAGGGGCTGGACTGGTTGTTTGAGGCTAATTCCAATAGCCTCTGCTGTTTTCAGCATGTGGTACTTCGATGATTTTGGCAATTTATTAGGCATCTGGTATAATACAGAGAAGGATTCTTCCACGCTGGCTGGCTTTGTGACCGTTTTGCACCATATGGTACAATATCGAACTGTTAATGGTTTTCACTACATCTTTAGATATGATAGAGAAGATTTGTAGCTCAGGTGGATGATTTTGAAAAATACTTCAAATTGAAGTATGCGCTGAAGATGTCACCCAGTAAGGTGATGAAAGCTTCGCAAACTAACCATCCGGCTCAGAGAACCAAACCACATCAAAATCATTACATCTTTACTTAGCCATGCTGGGAGATGTTCTCGAGCACGAAAAATCAAGTTCTTAGAGCAACGGCTAATATAACTCGCTTCACCACATGCGCAGTTGAATTGGTAGATCCAATTTGAAGTGGCTAGTCTAGGTACTTCATCGTTCAGTCGAGGTAGAAGCATCGGTCGTGTGGAGAATAAGACGTGCAGTTCACCGACATTTAAAGTTCTCTGAACCGACTTTCTTAATTTCCTCGTAATTATCTCACTTGGTAGATCGCCCTTGAACTGTAGTCGTATATAAAGTGGCTTCTTGTTTACAGATAGTGAGTAGTCCTTTTCCGCCGCTTTCTTTGTCATGTGTTACTTGATAAATTTAAAATTATCAGTGGTCAAAATAGCTCAATTCTGATCAAGTTTACCAAAGCAATTTCTATCAAACTCCTGAAATCCGATTTTTTTTGTTCAGGAAGAAGCAGTGGTCAGTCTTTCCTTGTCAACCTGGTGACTGTATGTCTTTGTTCTCTCTTTCATTTCACAATGTAATATTTGAGTTTAACCTCACCGCTTTTCATGTAGTATAATTTTGCTTATCTCTTGTTTTTTTATGATTTGAGTTGAACTCAGTAAATGTTTACCCAGTTATTTAGTTACCCATCATTTTACACATCTCTCATCTTTATGATGTAACTTCTTTACCACTGTATGCATACATTAGTAGGGTAAGTGGGGGGATATCGTTAAACCAACTTGTGAACACTATTGTAGATAGACATATTATGTCATGTAAGAAACTAGCGAATACAATATTGTCAGACCTCGAGGATTCCCTCTATACACAGCTCTCTCCTTGCATTTCATCTGGTAGAACTAGAAGCAGCTATAGGCGGCTATATGCTAGGACTACCAAGTACAAAAACTCCACAATACCATGTCTGGCACAGCTGTTATGTGATGAGAAATCCGTTAGGTATGACACTATAAACTTACTGCGGCACTCTAACAAATAGTCCCATTAGTTTTCGTTTTTCCTTTTTCGTTACTACTACGCTGTTGTTCTCATCTTCTATCACACACCAACTGTATATTTCATATCCTGTGGTGCATTGTTTGAAATGTAAACTCTACGCTGTTTTTTTTATTACTTTTATTTATTTTATTTACTTATTTATTATTTATTTTATTTTTATTTATTTATTTTTTATTTTAAAAATCTTATATAATTTATGAGGTAATTAGATACCCATTACTGTGATGCACGCTGAAAATTCCATACCTGTACCCCAAATACCGTTTGGAATAAAGCTGTTAACATTATTATTTACTTTGTTTTAATTCGCACCGTCTGTGTAAAAACTACATAAGTGAGATTTTCTGAGCACTGTTCACTAATTGCGAAACTTTCTGTCAACTGACATCATGTAAAATGTGCAAGTGTGCTTAAACTTTTCTACAGATGATCATCATTGAACAAAGCTTGGAATGGCAGTCACCTCTCTATCTCAAATTCATTGAATTTGAAAAGGCCTTTGACCGCAATGATCGTGAGGTCATTTGGCAGCTAATTCGCTACTTCGGGGTGCCACCGACAATTATACACCAACATCTAACAGTTATACGACAATGCTGCATGCCAAGTAATCCACAACAGGAAACTTACGGAATCCTAAGAAGTAAGGAAGGCAGCAAGACAAGACTGCCTACTATCGTCAATGATTTTCCTGATTGCAGTAGATTGGATAATGTCACAGACAACGGGAAATGAGGAAACAGGCATAAAATGGACTCACACAAAAAACAACTTGGAGGATCTGGACTTTGCCGATGATATATGTCTGATTTCCCACAAATTGGAAGATATGCAAGTGAAAAGCAACAAGCTGGCGACAAAAGCATCAAAGATAGGACTTCAAGTGAACACTTAGAAAACAGAGGTGATGAAGATTCCTGGCCAACAGCAACAGCAACAGACAACAATCAGCCGGCATAAATGGGAGGAACCTGAAAGAAACAACCTCCTTTACCTACCCACCTACCTGCGAAGCATCGTTTCAACTACATGCTGACGGAACTGACGAGGATATCAAAGCGAGGATAGGGAAAGGAAGGCAATTCTTCATTACCCTCAAGTCTGTGTGGAGGTCAACAGCACTCAGCATCAAAAATATGATCCAGATTTTCAACTCCAATGTAAAGTCAGTGCTACTATTCGGATCAGAGACTTGACGTGTCATAAAGAGCATCTCAAACAAACTACGGACCTTCATTAACAGTTGTCTTGGCTCAATACCACTCAAGATCAGATGGCCAGAAAAGATCAGCAACAGGAATCTCTGGGAGCGAACCAACTCAGCAGGAACCTATTGTGAAACAAATCGGCAGGAAGAAGCGGAGATGGATTGGCCATACTCTGAGGAAACCATCAAGTGACATCACGAGACAATCCATCGCTGGAGTGGAACCCGAAAAGGAAGCGGCGAGTTGGTTATCAGTGCAAGGGTGACTTGGAGGAGGTAATGTGAAGAGGAGATGAAAGCGTGTGGGCAGACTTGGAGCCAGATGAGAACGTTGGCAGAGAACCGAACGCAATGGAGACGCGCGGTTGAATCCCTCTAGGAATGAAAGGATATAATAATAATAAAATAATAATATCATTATTCTATACAAACCGCCACTGTTGTTTGTGCTTTATTCAAATAAATGATCTCATCTTTTTCCATCTTCCAACGTAAAATTAAAAGAAAAGAAAAATAAGTCACAACTTACTTAAATATGAAACTCCAATACCAATGAAATACTCCCATGGTAAATACTTCCAGGTGATGATTTCTGTTGAAGTCAAGATTGAAGTGAATACAAAAATTGGCCAAGTAACCAAAATATTGAATAAACCTGTTGTAACAAAGAAAATACAAAGAGATTTTCAAACTGTGAAGTAGAAGTATTAAGCAGATTTATTGCGTCATTTCTCTGTATTATGGTTCATTACACTGAAGCCTTCTGGTTCATGTTTAATATATTAAAGTACCAATCGGTGTTGAGGAGGCCATCGAATGACATCGATTGAAGTGTAGGCAATTGCTTGAATGAAATCCAGATGGGAGTCGACGAGTGGGTCGTCACTACTAGTGTGATATGGAGGAGATCGTGTGGCGAGGGGAATGAGGAGTGAGGGAGGGGCCAGCTGAAGACGACAGTTGAAAATTGAACGAAGTGGAGATGTGTTCAAGTTGAAGCCTTATGTTCTACTTGGAACCCAAGGGGATCACAATAATAATAATGTACCCTACCTATAAGAAGTTATATGCTCGCATCACTAAGTACGAAAATTCTACAATACCGTATTTAGCCTGTATTTTAGGTGATGAAGACACTGTTAGACATGAAACATATAAGTTACTACGTAATTAGCAAAGTGAATCGACCCTTTTATTGTTCATCTTTCTGTAGTTTTATGGTGTCACCCTTTTTATCGTTTAATTATAACTTAGCTACTTTATTTTAGTTGTTATTGTAACAACAGAAGACAAGGGCCGGCAACAGATTCTTTTTATTACAGAAATCAATACGTATTTATATATATTTCCTGTACATTATTATAGCTTATTCAAGTAGACAAACTCAGTCTTCTGACTGGTTGTTTCTCAGAAGCTAAGCAGACAAACGCAGGCTTCTGATTGGTTGTTTCGAGTAACCTCGGAAAGTGGAGCCATCTATCTGCGAATCATATTTACCCACGTTAAGTCTGCTGTGATTGGTTGTTGAATCAGCCTTGATCATATTTTCTTACGACCAATGTTAGTGACCTAGACATTATCGTAAATTAATGCCTACCAATTAGCTAGCAGCCTGCTCACCACATTATTACTATTACTACTACAACTTTGTACTTTATGCATATTTTTCTTCTTATCATATACTGTAATTTGTTACATAGCTGCTATAACAACTTTCTGTTATTATTGTGTAATGTTTATTTTTGATTTGTCGTTTTGAGTAAATTAGATGCAATACTGTACTAGATGCTGGAAATTCCTTGCAGTATCATTAGTACTATTTTGAGAATAAAGCAAAAATTATTATTATTATTATCATTACGATATCAAAATGTTCATATATTTTTAAGTAATGGATTTTAGGGACTTGGTTGATTGATGACAGGATTTTATCATGAGCTGACATCGGTTACAGAACCACTGGAAAACCAGTCAGTACTGGGTAGTTGGTTCGAACCAGTTTCAGATTCTTTTTCAGTACGCAACGACTGAGGTTAGAATCCAGGACCTTCTGGTTACAAAGCTAGCGAGCTCGTGGAATCGGCAGAGGTTGGAATTTAAGGATTGTTGGATCAGGTCTCAGTGGCTTAATAGTCTATGAGCTTGCTTTGTAGTTAGTAGATCCTGGGTTTGAACCCCTGTGGTTGCATACTGAAGAAGAGTCCCAAACTGGGCTGACAAAACAGCTGCCAGTATTCCCGGGTTTCCCAATGGTTTTCTAGCCGATTTCAGATGATGATAAAATCCTATAACAGATCGTATACTGTTGTCTGAACAGTATCAGTAAACGGGGAGAACTGTGGTAAAGCTGCATCCCAAGGTATTTATTTCATAAATTTATTTCAATTAATTAATTTATTATTTGATTCAACTGTCACCCAAGTAGTTCGGCTGAAATCGACCCATTTGAAATGGCTCGGTTGTCTAAGCTCAGTCGGATCAAGTACACTGTTGATAAATAAGCTTATAGTACAAAGAGCGAAACCACCGTCCGGTGTCCAGATTAACATCCCTCTGGTTAGCACGCGCCATTGGTTGTTGTGAATAGTTATCAGTAACTGACTTCAGTCTCTCAGTAGTATAGGCCGCCCTGAATCGTGATTGCAATTTTTGGTATGTAGCGTATCATCTATTAGGACCTGAATAAGTTCGGTTTCCAAAGGAACCATGAAAGAATGTCATCTCGAATAATGACTCACAATTCATTCTATCTTCGGTGTTGTTCCGTTTCCTTAAATGGATGGTTTCATCATCCATTGTGAAACTTGGGAGTACTGGAAAGCTGTTTCGTCAGCCTAGTTTGGGAATCTTAGTCGTTACACACCCACTGAGGTTCAAACCCGGGTCCATCTGGATACATGGCAAGCTCGTAGATCATTCAGCCACTGGGATCCGGTTAAATAGTCCATGAATTCTAACTTCTAACAGTTCATGAAATGGCACAACCACTGGTGAATGTCATCATTTCTGGTAAGTATTTACCCTCACACTTGACCTGCCGCACCTCCCTGGTCACAATTTCCTACTCCAACGTTTTCTACTTGTCCCCTAAACAATGTTAGTTCATGATGACATAAATACTGAAGAAAACTTAAAATGAATAAAAAGGCATCCATTCAGTAGTGTTTCCGAACTAGGTGCAACAGATCCCATCCTCGCCAACCAGTCCACACCCGCACAGGTACTTACATGGCTGGAATTGGTTATGGCATAGTGTATAGATTGTTGCCATGTTTTGATATGAACACCTCTAACTTTTTCTAACCTAATCACACATACACCAAAATATCGCTTATCGATGTAAGTGATGGTTTGACAGGTGCAATGCAACTCCTAGACATTTTCTATCAATGCAAAGTATCCCTTAAACCTGAGTTTTACTGAAATAAGGCTTTACCTAGCCGAAATAGATTCCTCTTCCGAAATCCGTTGGTCTTAGTTAGGACAGTGAATTCCAGACTGGTTGAGAAAATCAAAGTTCTCTTAACTTCTAACCTGACTGGTAGTCATGATAAGGTAGGAGAAAACAGTGATGGTATAGAGGAGTCAAATAAATATCGACTGCATTAAGTTATCTAGTAATTTTCTAGGGTGAATATATGTGTGTAAAACATGGGCACTTATGTAGTAAGCGATTCCACATTAGTTTGTTTATTAGATATATTACGCACACACACAGTGAATCAGTATTATTTACTGGGTGACGTTATGAACACAATCTAGTATTTAATGTTAATATTCATTTAATCAATTATAATCACACGACTTCGAAACTTGACACTTATAGTTTCCTTTCTCGTCTCCTATTTGTCGACGTAGGGGTAGTGAAACTTTCGAGATTTCTGGGTAGTCACGTACTTTCAGTTGATTCAATAAACAAAGCTTCTGTTATCGATCTCTCCCTGTACTCTGTGACATTAGATTTTAAAACTGTCATCCTATCCCATCCAGCATATTGTATGGTTGTGTGTAATTACATGTAGTGAGTGGTATAGCTGAACTTTTCTCTAGATTTCTTATCTTATTTGGGTCAACCAATCTAGATTTTGCTGAGTTTTTATGTTCGGATAGTCTGACTGACTGCTCCTGTTCTACCACTTTGACCTATGTATTTGACCTGACAATCATTGAAGTCAGGCAGGGTATTAGATAAACTAAATTGTTTTGTTTTAAAGGCTCCACAGGATTGATCCTTTAACCAACAAAGCTTGTTTCTAATTGAGTTTGTTATTGGTTTTAATACCATCCACTTTTATTCCTGAGTTGGTAGGAATTCTTTGTAAGGTGGTTTCCGAGGTTCCTTCCTTGTATGGAATTACTGTTGATGATTTACATTCCTTATTGTTGGTGTCGTCATTAATATGATTATTATCAATAGTGAGGAAAAATACTCGCCGATGCATTGGCTGGTAGTCCCAGTAAAATCACGAATCGATAGAATTTCGAATTCATAGGCCATTTAACCAAGTTCTAACAGCTGAATGTTCTATGAGCTTGCCTTGTCACCGAGAGGTGCTGGATTCTAAACCCAGTCGGTGAGTACTACCAGATTTCAGTATGTTTGTCTGTGGTTTTGCCTTCTAATATTCACTAAATCACTAACTGTGTAGAATAGATATGAAAAACGTAAAACCCTGAGAGAATAGTAAGATAGCATCTATTTATAACGATTCACTTGCATAACTATTCACTCCACTGATTGCGTATTAGACATACACGAAAACAAAACACTGCATTAATAACTAATTAACTAAGTAATTCATTATAATAAAGGTTTTTTGTATTTCCCAATGAATGAATGAATGAAAAACAAGACGATATTGTTATTTTTCCTTGACGTTTCTCTATTTAATGCTCCCAATGACTTCATCAAAGTATTATTAAACCAGAATGTACAAAATCTCAACTTATATATAACAACTGAATCATCGTTCCTCAGAATGGGGTCATTTTTACGTAGCTAAGTCAGTTAGTTGGTAAAAATAACAAGACCAGGTGTAGATGTTTGAATTTGACGAGTGTGTAAAATTTTAAAAGCAGAGTGTGCTTATATAATGATATTGCTCATCACTTTCGTGTTGATTTTGTCATTTCATGGGAGAGGTGGTTGGTTTGTTGTAACCAGGTCATATTTTGTTTTAGTCCATCATTCATATTCACCAGACAATTTGGAATTCATTTGATATGAAGTGCTTCTAATATTAGACGTTCTTTGTGATTTCTGAAGTCTTTCTGGATGATTATTTCAATATTGTCAAAATCAATTTTGTAGCTTGATTCTACAGTATGTAGACGACCTAAGGTTCATGATTTTTCAAACTTTTCTAGTTCATTTGGATTTCTTGGTTGTCGAACAGATGCTCTACGGTGTTCATTTCTCCTGATTTTGATTTCTTTTTGGAGAGGTTTGTCCGATGTGTGTCTCGTCACATTCCAAGCATCTTATTTTGTAGACACAGTTAGATGGAGAATAGCTAGGGAATCGGTATTTTATATGCAAAACGTTGCATCGTAGTGTGTCTGATGTTTTGAAGAAAACTCTAATGTTGAGCTGTTTGAGTACTCTTCTGATAAGGTTCATGCTGAGGTCCATGTTTTGGAAAACATTTCCGACCG